CCCCAAAACCCCAAAACCCCAAAACCCCTATCTACTATTGAATATTATTTGAATAAGAATTAAATGAATCGAAGTTTATTAATGTATTTTAAGCAAAAGAACTTTAAAGCTTATATTAAAAACAAAACGCTGTAAATAAAAATATGAATGCCTGAGTTACGTCAATTAGCCATCCTAACGATAATGTTGTCATTTAGAACTAGAGGGTCGACAATTTCCTTCCCAATCAAGCTTCGGAAATATTAAATGCCCTCTTATGATTTGAAGTATGAAGGTTCTTAAGCTTTGAAGTGTTCAACTTTCTCATTTTGGATAAATAATTATTTGTTCCATTCCTTGAATCCATGGGATTAAGCAAGAAGTTTTGGATCATGATCTTTGTAATTAAAAAATCCTGTCCTCTCAGGGGTTTCCTTATCGATCTATACATAACCAAAAAAGTACAATAAGTCTGCTGCCTGTTCCTTTATGTAATCGAGTAGCACTTATGAATATCTATGTAAATTTTTATTGACCTATGTTTTTTATGATGCTTATCCTCCTGTTGAAGATCTTGGTTGATAAATAAGACTCGCGCTGTGGCCTTAGTTCTTTATCACATCATTAATTCTTTGTCCAATCAAAGTATCCTTTATAGATTTTAAGTCTAGAGCAAAGCTGAAAAAATCTTCAAATGTATCTTTAGGAGTAGAAGAGATTATGTCTTCATACCTAAAGAAGAATAATGGCACTTCTTTTGCCTTGGCATAATCAATCCACCATTTGTGAAATGCGATCCACTCATGCAATTAATACTTTGCTAACCTTTCCCAAGTATCTTGGAAATCTTTGTGGAATTCTTACTCTGTGTTTTTAGAATGTGTCCAGGTGAACAGAAAGGAAAACTGCGAAGCCAAAACATCCAAAGGATTTCTTACACAAAGAGCTACTTTGTTTGTTTCATAATCTAACTCAACATTGAACCCATCAGGATAGTGAGTCTTTACCATCCAGACTCTATCATCAATCACTGATTATCCTTTGAATCCTTGCATTTGTAAAGCAAGATTGACCATGTATCTGCACTCAATATCATTTCCTGTTGATATACCAGTGATGGTCTCAAAGTACTTTCGAAAGAAACTGTTGCCTGATCGAGGATAGGTCGCATATGTCAGTTTTGGGACTATTTCTGAGCTATCTAAAAACTTTGCTGCTCCTTCAAATATCCATTTATAATCTTCTTCAGATACTTCATCGGTTTTTTTCTTCAAAAGCTTTACATAGTCAGTGAACTTCAATGTTTTAGTCTCAGGAGATGCTTCAAAAGTCAAGTCATATTTCAATTGGTATCCTTTGAAGTTATCAGACACTTTCTCTGAATACTTCAAAAATTTATTGTTAATCTTATGAGAAGAGAGTAGATTCATATCTTCACTCATGTAGAACAAGTCTTTAGTCTTGAAGAGTCTTGTAGCAATACCATCAAGGTGCCAGTGAAATTACTATCTTGTAAGGTTCATAGGATACTTTTACTTAGTAGAATCTGTGTTTATGACATTAAACCATAGGAAATCTCTTATCTCAATGAAGTATACTCCTCGCTGATTATATGGCTCTTTATTTTGAAAGTTTATGAGTTCATTTTCAAATTGATGTTCTATGAAGTCATCAAACGATTACTGCTCAACTGTGAGTGAAGTACCTATCATGAAAACCTTAACCTCCAATAAATTTTAATAATTATAACTCAATGTTAAATCTCGAATTTATAATTCTGATCAGACTTAATAGCCAATAAAATTAATTGAGGGGTTTTGGGGTTTTGGGG